GCTGTAGCCTACTGCTTGCTTACCAGTCAGTTGGTTTCCATTTAATTTAATTAATATTCTCTGTTTTTACATTTGGATTCTTATGTAAAAAAATATTAAGACCCATGTCAAATTCTTTGTGACTCATTGCACATTCCAAAAATAATGAAAAATATATGGTCTCGTGGTTTTTTTTTCTTTGTTTGTTTTTCTTTCCAGGACACTCATAAGCCATGATAATGGCCGTGCTCGATGCATAATGCACAAATGAGCGTCCGTGGCAATATACACATAATACTGGCAGTGCTGAGGTCAGTGGATAGTGATGGGATTAAACGTGGGCAGGGACCCCAAATGAAATTGTGCTTAAGACCCCATCAAAGCTTGGGCTGGCTCTGGTACCATGGATTTTAGATCAGAATATCCAGCTCTCTTCAATCTCAAATTGGTGAATTGATTTTCTCCTATCTGGGTGAGGACCTGTGCTAGATGATCAACTGGATTTTTGTTGTCATGATGATATGAAGATATCAAAACCCTACACAAACAAATCATGGAACAGAGTGATTCAAACACAGCATGCATTCACACTCACATTTAGCCTTGTTTAATAAATTTTTGAAGTATTTTGTGCCTATTAAAGCAGAACGCCATATTCCTGATATATATACATTCATAACAATAAATATTGGATAATGCACATCACAGATTGCCTTTAGATCATTTAGTTCTCGTGGGGATGTGTGTCTCGACTTTAAAGCATACTATGTTTTGGAACATTTAGTTTAGCTGATGGCAGTCATTTATTTCTACACTGTCTGACTTTTTTCTACATCGCCCCCTGTTGGCCGTGTTTTCCACTGGCTTCCGCTGTACTTTTTGTTCAGTGGTAACTAGGAAATGTTGGTATCCTGGTATACACTAAAACAGGATGGCTTATATGTTGATCTTTTTATGGAGGCTGCTCATTAATAAAATATGTGGGATGTCTTTAAAATGTGTCACATGCTACACTGCTGCGAGGAAATTCAGGTTAGTTAGCATTGCTTACGCAAAGGTAACTTGTATTACATTGCTGGCATTTTATTACTGGCAATGGTGCATGCATTGAGATTTCACACAAAATATTTCAGCATCATACTCAGAACACTGAGAAAATATTGAATATTGAAATAATGAAAGAAACTTACTGTAACATACTGTGTAATTTCATCCTGTTAAAAATGACAGCCTGGTAAATCTCAAACATTTTGACATCAAATGTAGAACTAAATGAAAAACGTATATGCAGACATGTTCGGACCAACAGATCAATTACTGGGATACTATTGAGATACATATTCATTTTAAATGAAAATAATCAGATATGGAATGACAAGACCTTAGAGGCAACTACTTTCAAGGAAGCATTGCCAACCAGCATAAAACTAATGAGAAGCAGAGATCCAGTTTGTTTCCTGAGGTGATAAGAGTAACGAACAACAAGCCACCACATCTCCTTAAATGACGATCATTCATATTTCCGTATATACTTCACAGTCAGCGTGTAAAGTCAGAAAGATCATGTCATAAATCTTTTCATTTCTTATTTGGGGTTTCCAGGATGTATGTCATGAGTCCTGCTATGAGCTCATTTCTGGATACTGCAGCCTTTGAATATTAACAACATGGGCGGGGGGGATGGTCTATGGTAAGAACACGTGAGAGCAAAGGAGCCTGGCTATTGGTTGTCTGGGATATGAGAACGCTGTATTTTTTTTGCTGCTTTTGAAAGGGTGGTCCTACCTACAAACAGACAATAACAAAGAGGAGAGGAGAGAATGTTTCATATGAACAAGCAGCATCTTTTTTTCATATAACATCTATCTTCTGTTTTATATCCTTTTCTTTCTATATTTCTAAGCTATAATTAGGCCCAAGAATGTTTTTTATGATTTTGATTGGCAAGACATCATTTTATTAACTGTATGCAGTGTGACTGAAGATAACACAATGGGAAAGGTGTTAATATCATAATTGGGTGTTTAGTGTGGTATATCTATGCAGCCACAACTGCTAAGCTGCACTACAGCTTGTGCCCCAGATATTGCCTCTGGCTACGAGCCAGTGAGTGAATGGACAAACATAATGACTGCATCTAGTGTGAATGACACCATCACTCAGTTGCAAATGGTGCCTATGTGCATAGCTACTGTAAAGAAGGCTTGCTAATCTTCCAGTAATAACAACTGATTGATGAAGGAAACAGTTTTCCCAGTAAAAGCAGCTAAATAGCTCTTCAATGCTGGGTACTGGAACTAATGTATATATTATTTTTTAAGTATTGTAATAATGTAATTCTTTTGTTTCTTTGTAATATTCTACTTAACTTTAACACATGTATAGACATGTGCATGTGTGTGTGTGATATAACCAGTGTTGGGGAGTAACGGAATACATGTACCGCCGTTACGTATTTAAAA